ATTTATCGTGTTTATGTTTCTTACAACAATAAAAATATGTACAATAAGCAGTTTACTGTTTTCTTACGTCTCTCTAGGAAGGAACAATGTCGATTTGATGAGACAATAAATGTTCGCTGCGTCTATAGTGAGCCGTCCAAACTGAAAGACGAGCTTCTTTTGAAGTCACGAACTTGCGTCACGTACTTGCGTACTGTTTGATCTGGTACGGTTTTTTCTGCCGTACACATTAACGAATATGGATATATATATATATATATATATATATATATATATATATATATATATATATAAATATATATCGCATACCGTATATACCGTATGCATACCTTTTGGCTTGTATATGTGTACCGAGCTTAACAGTGGTTTATGTCTTGTGTGTTATAATGAACTCGCTCTAATGAACCCCTGAGCGTGAAAAGTGTCCTCCCAGTACAATTCTGAATGAATGAATATTAATACATGTGGCTAAAGGTTCTAAATCAAGGCTACAACAAAAAAATATCTTTGCCTTGAAGGACGATTATGTTTATTTTTTGGGTAAGTATAGTATAGTGATAGAGCTGTGTATAAATTATAATAAATATTTTATATGTATTATAAATATAAAATGTACTATTTACAATGAGATATAAATAACTGAGGACTATCTGCTTCAGAATAATACGTAATAAAAAAATGTTGCATGACTCTGAAATACCGGATATTAAAGTTAAAAATTAAAAAACTATTATTGATAATTTTTTTATTACCCACTATAGTTTTCCTAAATTTGATAAAAATGTTTTTTGAGTTATTCGATACATCTGTTGGTAATAAAATGTGTTTATTTTCTTTTACCAGTGGCCCGCACAAGAGAGGTTCTTCAAGAAAAAGGTCTAAAACTTAGTTGGGAAAAAATATAATATACTTCATCTAATTTACTTACCGTTTCACGTCATTATCATTGACAGAGATCGAAGTTGACATAGTTGCCAAAGTATAAAAAAATCCTGACTCCATTTTAAATCAAATAGGTCACATAATTATTGCAAAAGTATTATTATATATAAATCAAGAGGCATTCACTTTAAAATTCAAAATAATAAAGTACAAAAGTGTCAACACCGCAACTGTCAAATAAGCGTTACCAATTTATGCCAAAATATCACCTTCGTTCGATTACCGTTACAGTGTGTTCCGAACAAATGTTCTTCATAAAAACGCTTTATAATGCATTTATACAAATTAAATGAAACATATTATTGTGTATTTCTTTATGTTAACAATAATAGAAATCTTTAAATATTATTTCTACCCGTATATAATAAAATATGTCTAGTGGCTGAATGCCAGTGTACTCGGCAAAGTGATTCTAAAAAAGAACACACCTACTGCCTAAATATTTCGTGTTGGTATCATTTGACCTCACGGACTATGACGCGGATGACGTGCAACGGTTAAGTAAATTAGATGAAGTATATATACAATAATCATTTAATGATGAGGGCATTGATGATAACTTTGAATGGTAAAATTATTTTAATAGCTGTTTTAGGGTTAGAACATGGACTAAGAAATGTAAGTGTAACTAAGTGAGTGATGTGTTAGACTAGACGAGAGAAAAATTGCAATGAAACTAAAAGACAAATTCTATCAGACCGCTTCGCCGTGATCTGATGTATGGCACTAAAGTGGTTGACAGACGTACGAACTTTAAGTACAATTAGACAATATCTTTACTTTGAGATTAATATTAAGATATCTTACAAAACTGAGATTTATCTGAAAGAACGCGTCAAATAATGTTTCATAGGAGACAGATGTAACGAAAACATTTTTTTCTATAAAGAAAAAGTTTTTCACTTATTGGCTGTGCGCTTTCTGTTCTCATCTGTGGAATCTATAAAGCTATGGCCCCTTAAGTTAGTCTCATAGGTGTTAGTAAATGAGAGCTGAAGACAGTCACAGAGGTGATGACGAGACGGCTAACTGAAGAAATGTCTTACAATATAGAAAAGGGTCGAATAAACCACGATATTAGCCCAGGAATAAACTGTTTTTTTGTGACACTGATCCGGCCAGGCCAACTACAGTTTTTTAGGGTAGTATGGATCTACCTAATAACAAGAACCTATATGTTTCCTGCTGTCGACTTTTTGGACTTAATTAGGTATTAACAAATTATTGTCAAAAAACGATAAATTTTCGCTTTTTTCGTCTATCAGCAAGAAGTGAAGCATTTGAAACAAATTTGAGAGTAAAAAACTTATCAGTCATACAAAAACCTTCCAAATAGTATTTTTTAAATGCTTCGATGTTTATTTGTTGCTTAAAAAATTGTAAAATAAGTCAAAAATTTCGGTTTTTTATAAAATATTAAAAACTTTTTAAAAATAAACTTATAACCTTCATATTATACCTATGGAGTGTAATGGATGATTAAAATGTCAAACCGATAAGTCAAATAGTTTAATTGTTAATTCACTTGTTATCCCAAATTAAATTTTTTTTTTCAAGAATATAAGTCAGAAAATTATCGTTATAGTAATTATACGGACAGATTCTGAAAAAAGAACATTTATTCTATTGAACATCATTTAAAAAAGATGAAAAACAATTATTACACAAATTAAATAGACAATTAGAATAACTTTTTAATCATTGCCTGCAAGAAAATTATTTTTCATATTTGTAGTTCCTTTCCATCATATTGATAGCACATTATGTATGCAAATCCTCAACAGGTCAAAAAACCATAGGCGTCACCCTATACTTATTTTGAAATAAATAAAAAAAATTAATATTTTAAGATGCCGTCAACAATTCATTATCTTTTAAAAAATCTTCTAGTGGGTAAAATAAGTGCCCACTAATCTCACTATACCTTTTTTGTGCGTAAAAAAGTCGGTATATATGCCACACGATTGTTGTTAATTATACAAGGGTGATTAACGAGAGAATTCAATGTTTCACGAAATAAATTAATGTAAACAGTAATTTAAAGGTGATTATTGTTTTCTAGTTTAAGTAGTTTTTATGCCACATTACAGCTTATGCCAATAATATAAATTAGAAATTGTTTGCATCTTCCATTTAGTTTGTAGATGTACATTTTTCATGTCTTACCTACCTACGTTTTTGGTGTCGATATTTTGTTATTTGCATTTAAAAATGACGTCGACAACCGGTTTTATCCCGGTTAAGTGTGGTTTTAAAGGTGCCTTCAGTCTAAGAGAGAAAAATATAATATTAAATGTACACGAGGCACTTATACATCACTTGTTAAAATTGTTTTTCTCCGTCTTTTTTTTAATGATATTAACAGAATAATCTTCGTCTTTCATAATCTGCCCGTACTAATTTTCTGACTTATATTTTTGCAAAAAAATTATTTTGGGATATACAAATTAAATAACTTTTAAACTATGTGACCTAATGGTTTGAAATCTTGATCATTTTAAGTACTACAAGACCCAACATTCCATGTAATATGAAAGTTATAGTTTATTTTTAAAAAAGTTTACTATTTATCAAAGCCAAAATTTTTGACTTATTTGCAACTTTCTAAGTAACAATAAAGGATGTTAACATTTAAAAACGCGTTTTGAAGGTTTGTATATGGCTTATGCATAAGTTTTTTAATCTCAAATTGGTTTCAAATGCTTCACTTTTGCTGATAGAGGAAAAGGCGAATTTTTACCGTTTTTTGTCATAAATTTGTTAATAACTAATTAAGTCCAAAAAATCGACTGCAGGAAACATATTGGTTTTTATTATACATATTGAACGAAATAACTTCGGAACATACGAAATATTCTGTATTTCGGCTCAATTTTGCTGTAGGTGGTTGGCAAACAAAAGGTTGTCAAATAATTATATTATAAAAATCCAATACTTCGGCGTGTGGCTGAATTCTGAAATCATAAAAATTGAAAACTACACATAAATCTACGATTTTATTATGCTGTCAAACCAGTTATCGCTTCCTTAGACAAGCTCTTCTTTGAGGGGTGTTGCCAACCTCATTTCTTTAGATGTTTCTCAAATAAGGTGTTATCCATAAAATATTTACAAGAAAAAAGAAAATAACTACAAACCATTAAGTTTATTTTTGTTATTAGTCTGTTGTAGTAGATTGGTAAATACAATGAAAAATATAGGCAAATATTCGATTTATTTAAAGATACGAAGAAGATATAACTCTCAAAAAGATCCGCAAATCGGATTATTACACGGCGATTGGCAACATTGTTACGCAAAGATTGTTGCGAGACAGATAGTTGAACGATATTTTATACAATGTCTAAACCCAGGTATGGATTTATTTTTTTCCAAGTTTTATATTGGCCCACTAATTCAAATGCAGTAGTATATATATATATATATATATATATATATATATATATATATATATATATATATATATATATATATATTAAATTGTATGATCCGTTTTAAATTCGTTCAATCTGTATGGGTTTGTACTAGTCAATATAAGTAACGTTTACATGGTCGGTCCAGTGTCACAAACAGGATAATTTTTTGCTTATTTCCCTGGCCTATATAGGAAATGGAAAAAGAAAAGTCTCACAATTAAATGTCAGGAGACAAATAGTGCCTTGCCTAATTTAGAAGAGGAAGAAGAAGACTATTTATAATTCTGCTTCTACATTGATACTGTAACTTGAAATTAAATGATAAGTTCCAGAGCTTTTGTGATGCTCACGGTCACCTTCGGACATGATGATAGTTTTAAAGCGCTCAGCTATAAAATTAAATGTTTTATACTTTTAATTTCATAAAAAATACCTATTTACCTTACTTACATAATTCATAAGACCAGTCCGATTAAATATAACTTTAAAAAATAATAAACTGATAGCACAATAAATCAAAATAGTATTATTGGGCCATAAATACCACACAATCAGATCAGATATCATAATACCTGCAAATATTTTATCATTTTTTAATCGATACTAAATTTAATCACTTCTAGAAAATATTTAGACACTAACTTCACTTTCATCATCGTCATCATCACTGCTGAAATGTCTACTGCACCTCCACATTTTTCCCGTTAAGAAAAAAATAGAAAATAGAGAAATCTTAGGTCTTGAATAACACTTTTTTGCATTTGTTCACATTTATGGATTACCCTTCAATACAGTAGAGATAATGTTAATTATTCAAACCTGATAATAATATTTGAAGATGATAATCAGTGAAGATAACGGGAGAAACAAAATGCCTTACACCTTAATTACTGATTCATCTATATTTTTATCGATTGTAATATCATTTACATGGATTATTTTTTACACAAATCAAGAAAGGTGTACTTACACTCATATTTTAAAAGCATAATTGTTAAAAAAACCTTCAAATGTCAGCTTTTTTAAAAAAAAATTTCTAGTAATAATTCACAATTTATTTAAGAGAAATACAGTAATTACTAACAATAATATAAGGGAAACCTAGTAGAGCATTATGATCTACTATGAGACAATTATTTGGTATCTCATTCCTTATGTTACATGATTAATTTTTTATAATACATCTATTCAATTGGCTTTAATACTTATATACTGCCAGGTTGGTCTTTCATTTTTACACCTGCAATCCAAGATATGTTGCAGACATGAATTATTTTTTTGGGAATGTTGTAGCTGTTGACGTTGCCAACGATCATTTGTGACGCTGGTTCGTTTCACATTGTTAAAGTCTTAACATATCACCAATCATCCTTCATTATTTTGTTAAAATTATTAATAAAACAGGAAAATATATTCTATTTATTTTCGATATATCTCAGCTCAAATAAAACTAGTTTTTTGTCTCGTTCGTTTTCCGTTGAGACTCCCGCTAAAACAGGTTGTTTCTTTGGACTAAACACGCTTCTATATTATTTTACCGCCAATTCTCAAGATTTTTGTCTAGCTAGAAGTGGGTGAATAACGTTTTTTTGTTCTCAGAACTCGTAAAAGGGCAATATATCTTTTAGTTTTATTGTTTTTATCATTTTGGAGTTTCTTCTTAAATGTATAGACAAATTGGCTTATTAGAACCCACCGTTGGCACATTTAAAATTCGTTACAAACCGTTGAAAAATTGGCGGTTCTTGTCCCTATAAAAGGTTGGATCAAAGCGGCATTCGGAGACTTTTAGTTCGCGGATAAGCTACACTAAGATAAACAGGAATAAAGCGGAGATGCGCTGTCCTGAGTTTTCACATACGGTTAGGAAACCATGTTGGGGTTCAATTACCCAGGACCTCCACATGAAGAGCACTGGGCTGATTGTTGTGCCTCTATAGCGAATCAGATTGCTATAGGGGGGAAAGGGATGGTCTAGAGCATTGGAGCACGGTGGGGTGACTCCTGTTTTTAAACTCGAGTTAAAACACCTTGCTCCAATGAATTGTTACACCCGATCGTACTACCTGGGTGAACATTTCTCATAGGCTGGGTTCAATCAAATTGCTTGCTTGCATTCGGAGACTTCGTTCCCAGTCCTCGTGCCGGACAGTAGTTACATTCAAGACTTCTCTCTCGGTTCTCACTCGCACCAGACTCTGCTCTCTGTTCTCGTACCTGACCGTAAGTACATCTCGACCTCTCAAGATTTGTCTAAAAATTCACGCGCTCTATTTAAACTTTCGTTCACATAGCAGAAAATTAAATAGTTTGGTGGTAAAATAAAGTGTCCTTAAATTCATCAAGCATTATTATTCCCATTTAGACTTTGTTTTGATGAAGGATTACTTAATCCTGGTCTACATACTTAGCCAGTTCCAATGCCTGGTCGGTACCTGTGTTATAGAAAGGAGACAATTCACAATACACATGTCAAATTCATTTTGAATAGTAGCTACAGTTAGTGCTACATAGTCTTCTTGAAAGGACATGGCTTCTAAATGGATTGTTCTGCCATGTGCTCGATATCATAATTAGAGCCTATTTCCAAAATGTCTTCTTCTTTAGGTACCGTCTCCTCTAAGCAGGTTGGTAATGTATTTTTCCCTGCATTATGGTTTGTAGCAACACATATTTATCTCCTCTCATAACGTGGCCGAGATATTGTATCTTAATCGTATTCATGATTTCCATTTCCTTTGTCATCTTTCTGAGGACCTCAACATGTGTTATTCAGTCTACCCAACTTATTTTTAATATTCTCCAGTAGGTCCACATCTCGAATTCTTCAAGTCGATCGCAGTGGCGGCTGGTGTGGTAAAATTTTGGGTAGGCCAAGCCAGCAAATTACATCGTACATTTAGCGTCATATTCTGTGAATATTTTATTATCGCCCAATTCCAGTTATTGAAACTTTTTGTAATCCGAGGAACGTTGCTCTAATTGAGTGATAATATTGTCCAAAATGGTTAGAAAATGTAAAGTCATTTCTCCAGCTCTTTAACATTGCTGCCACACTTCTGGACACTGAATTGGCAAACAATTGAACATCATTATTTTTCTTCTGCAATGAAATATATCACTAAAAACATTTAATAAAATACAAATTCCAAATCCTCCAACTTACGTTTAAAACCATCTGCCTGCCTAATTGATTTTGGATTTGATTCTCATCAATTCATTATGTTCTGAAAGACTTGTAACAATTTTTTTCTTTCTTGTGACACAGCATATATGACTATTTCATTAGAATTCCATCTTACTTCACTATTTGTGGTAATTCGTTTTCCAAGTATTTTATTTAAAAAATAGGACCGTTTGGACGATTGGTGAAAATAAGCTGGAATACCTTGAAGTGTTGAGAATAATATTTTGACTGTTGTAATGTTGGAGCAACTTTTGCTGTAAAACTAAGTTGAGGCGGTGAGCGAAACAATGGGTACATATTGCTAATGGTGCAGAATCTCTCACTAATTTTTGAAGTCCATTAAGTTGTCCCGAAATAACACTAGCTCCATCATAGGCTTGAGCAGTTAATTTAGCTTTACACTCAAATTTACCAGTTACACTAAACAGTAAGTCACGCAACGCTGGAGCACTTCGATCTTCCCCTAGATCAAAAAAACCTAAGATATATTCTCGAACAACGGCTTTTGTATTCACTAATCTGCATACTATTGAACATTGTGCCCTTTCAGTAATATCGGTTGTTTCATCAAGAATGCATGCAAAAAATGTGGAGTTATTTATGGCGTTCTCATACAACACATTAGTGTTGTTTCTTTAAAAATTTGTTACAATTATAGATTATGTTACATATTCTTTTATCATAATATTAAAGAAAATTTATATTACAATTCGATAATTACGTTACAAGTGACAACGATGGTCGGCGTAGGCCAGATCGTCTGGTGCCTAAACAGCAATTATAAACACGACAATAAAAATCGTTGTCCGGCAAGCTGCTTAACTTCAAACGATTTTTGTACGGGGATCGTATGTGAGCTGGGTCAGCCAGTTGAGATCGGGCCGATTAATGATATTTAAAATGCCTGAATACGATTCGATGCTTTCTGTGGTAATATAGTAACATAGTTTTCACGGACGCTAATGTATTGAGTGATTTAGTACATTTAAAAGTTATTTACATGCATTAACATAATTTTGAATATATGTTTTTCAATTTTAAAGCTCTTGAGTTCAAAAGCCCTCACTGGTCGATCGCTCACCTCGTTCTTTAAGGTCCAGGCCTACACCCTACTATAGCAGCACTGAAAACACATATGAACATAATACTCTTATTTTGAGTTGCAAACTAAGGTATCTACTGCATAATACTTTTCTCATCTTATTAAATATTGCTCTAACTTGTCCAATTCTCATTTTTATTTCTTCTGTATACTCGTTATTTTCATTAATAATTGTACCAAGATATCTGTAATGAAATCGTAGGCTTCCACGGCCAGAGTCAGAATTATAGTTTATTCGTCTTCCGGGTTTGGACCGTGTCATTTGTGAGTGACCCAAAAGTGGGTTCATCTCGACGTTTCGCTACAATTGTATGTAGCTTCTTCAGGAGAACAAAAAAAGAAAAAAGAAAGAAAGAAGAAAACAAAGAACAGGAAGATGGGTAGTTAGCAACGGTAACTCAGTTACTCAACGCAACCAGAGGCGAATACTAACTACCAAGATGGGCATTTGGTCACAGTAACTCAACTACTCAACGCAGCCAGAGGTGAAAACCAAATGCCAGGACAGGGATTCACGTCCAACAGCTCAGAACACTAACGCGTCGAGAGGCGGGGAGTGAATCCGATTCGGATTCACTCCCGCCCTCCAGCAGAGATAAACTGCAGAATTTGCACGGCCAACAGATGCTATTTTGGGCTCAATCTCCTCCTTAAATCCACAATTATATCGAGAAATACAAAAATAAAACTGTACAAAACAATAATACACCCAGTCCTAACAAATGGTTCAGAGACTCTGGAAAAAAAATAATGAAAACATGTGAGAAGTAAAGTGTCTTGATGACATTTTCCTCGATTCAGAGATACAGTGCAAGATGGCCAGAATATGTGAACTGGGTTCTCTGATCACAAAGGACAACAAGTTGGTTTTTCATTGCATCAAGTAGATACATGTCAGGAAGAAAATATTACTTTTAGGCCAATTACACAGAAAGGTCTCTTTCTGTTTCATAATAGAATATTCGAAATAAGTTGTGACTTTGTGAATGTGAGAGAAATGGATGTGAATGAGAAGTTTAATAGATTTATTAGTGTTCTGGATATTTTGAATCTTTCTCAGAGAAAAGGAATAAGGTAAGGGCCAATCAAACTAATAAAATTAATTGGTGTAATAATGATGACGCACAGGTAAAGAACCATCGACTCAAATGTAATAAAGAATTGAATTGATTTTTCTAGATACGTGATTGCTTAGTTGTTATTAGGGGTTTATTATGTTAGGGTTGTGTGACAATAGTTTAACAATCATTTTCCTAACCTATGGATGTGCCTTGATAGTCCATTCATACTTATATTGGTCATCCTATTCTCATAATTGTTTACTTCTTTCTTTAGAGACATCACAAAAAAGAAATATATACTTGATGGAACTTTATCTGATCTCCACCAATTGTTGGTGGGAAAGCTTATTAAATTCCTTTCCCCAGCGGGTACAGTACCAAATATTTTAGGACCATGGAATGTTAAAAAGATGCCTTCGATATCT